CTGCTTTACTTTGTCCAGTGTTATAGGCACCCATTGCACGGTGCCAAGACATTTAATAGGAGATGTCATAATTCCCTATATTCTCCTTTCTTGCTTTCCCTAGTTTTCCCTTCCTTAGAGCAGCAAACAATCTATATATCTAATAATGAAAGGCGCCCCCTGCGTGCGGATACCTAAATCCTTGCATCAGGGGCACCTGGGAGGGAGGGAGATTTTTGTGCACACTTGGGGCAGTCCCCAGGTGTGCACAAAAATCTAAAACCTGAAAAAAATATCGGGGGGGATACTTAAATCCCCCCAAAAGTGACAGAGCATCCCCTGCGCATGCGCAGGGGACACTCTGTGAACTCCCTCGCTGCCGCCGCTTGGGAGGGGGAAGAGAGCAGCGAGGCCCGAGTGGCAAGCCGGGGGGGGAAGAGCAGTGAGGCCCGAGCGGCAAGCCGGGAGGGCCTCGCTTCGGAGCCGGGGGGGAAGGGAAGGGGGGAGATCGAGCGGGGGGGAGTGGAGGAGACGGGGGAGGAACCGGCGGGATGGGGGGAACTTACCTCCTCCTGCTGCTTCCTCCTCTGCCTCCTGTGTGGAGGTCCCTCCCCCCCGCGAGTATCGCGGGTTCCGCCCCTTGTCTTATCTAATCCCAAAAGTATGTTTAAATACAGTGCTACCTTCAAGCTGCATGGCTTTTTCTTCATTATGTGGAGACAAGGCTATCACTGCAGGTGGCATCAGTGGCATTGCTGGTTATAGATTTGCCATCCAAAAAAGTCCTTAGAACAGGGTTGTTGTTTTTTTTCCTTTTCACAGTGAGATGCTCGCAAACAGGATTCTTATTACCCTTCCCCCTCCCACTTCAGCCCTGAGGCACAAAATGGAACCACCGTCTCCTACAAATGGTCTGCTAACTTTAAACCTCCTGTGAGAGAGCCAAAGTCTTTAGAGAGGCTGACCTTCTTCCATTTCAGAGCTCACCTTGGCCCTCCCACCGAATTGCTGTTAACTCTTGCGTGCAGTAAAATATCAGGACAGTGCCGCGTGAACTTAGCAGCGGTGGTGGATTTCAACACATTTCTTTCACATGACCAGACAACCCTCTTGCCACAGTCAGTGAAAAAGGATCGGAGAGACTACTGCCCCAGGGAGCATCATGTCTTCCTCCTTCATCCAAGGATTAAATTAACAGCGCCCTTGGGGCAGAGGTAGGATTCTTGTCTCCCTCCATTATTGCTAATGCCCAGACAACAAGAGTCAAATGTGGAACTCATCACTGTCTTTATGGCACATGGACAGCAAGAAACAAACCAGAATCTTTCCATGTTGAACACCAAATGAAAGCAATGGATGATCCTTCCCCCATGGTACTCCTATTTCTCAAAGAGTCTTTGTCTATAGAAAATGAAGCCACCATCAAGTCCCAGTCTTTGATCAGCCAGCTTTTGACTCCTCTGGGCCATGGCATGTACTTTGATAGCTGTGACAGATTCCAGCTTGGTAGAGCTTTTCTGGGAAATGACAGCTAGGAAGATATGGGCGTAAACCATTTAGAAAAGTTTTAAAATGTTTATAAGAGACATTTAATGGGACCTCATGTTTTAAAATTTGCTGACAGCTGTGCAAAGCCTTCCCACAAAATCTATATATCATTTTTTACTATAGTAATTAGCACATCATAAATACTATGGGTGGCTGATTCAAATGTGCAAGACTTGCGCTGCAAAGATTTATGGCAACACAGCCATTCTCCCGATGGTCATATCTTAATTTTGAGGATACTACCACTTGTAACTGCTAACCCCCCCCCACCAACTCACCCAAGTGTAGTTGTCACTGACATTCTTAGTGGAAAGAACCACTTAAAGATTGACAAAGCACTGACTAGCCCCATACCTAACTGTGTCCCACAGGTCATTCTGCTTGGTAATAACCATCTTCATGTATGTTAAGAGATCCATGTTTGCCCCACCAGGTGCATTTCTAAGAATCAGCATCATATTCCAAGGGGGGAAAGCCTTAATTTCCATGGAGCTAGTTGGCTACAGACCTTGAGGGGCACTTTCCAAGCTACTTATAAAAATCAGATAGGCTTTTTCAGGAGCTACCAGGTTCTCTTAAAATACAAATGTGGTGTGAGAAAACTATGCATCTTTTTTCCAGATAGAAGATACATGCATGAAAGTTTCACAAAACAGGTCTTCTACAATTTACCTTGCTGACATTACCATCTTATGCCTCTTGAAATGTGTGTCTAAAAAGCACACATATATATTTCAAGTAACACAGGAAGTGGAAGTGAAAGCGACAATTACTATCTCTTCTGTGGACCATACTAAGGCCCATGGTATGACTGGATTAAGAAATCATGAAGCCCTATGGCATGATCACTCAGATGTAAACCCCACTGATTTCAATAGGATATACTCCCAAGAAAGTATTCAAAGTATTTCTGCATTACAGTGAAATTTTAAACAGTGAAATAGAACTAACAAGGTCTATTCAGTGGAACTTACTCCCAGGAAAATATTTCTAGGATTGTACTGTCAGTCAAGAAATTTTGTTAGTTTTAATGCATTAACCAATAAAGCTACTAAATCTGCAAATGAGTAAAAACCAATGAAGAAATACATAAATGTAGGTTTTGGGTTATGGATATGATCACAGCAGCTACAGTCTTACAAAAGCCTTACTCGGCTGCCTAAATTGGACAAGACAGAGCATGTTTCTCATTTTCATGTGGGAGGTGGTTCACATAAATAGTGGTATGAAATGGGGCAATCACTGTGTATGAACTTGGCCATCTCAGAAATACACAAGTCAATCAGCAGTGACTGTTCAGAGCATAGACGCAGACAAGTTAGTTGCAACTGATGCTGGGGGAGGGGGTACTGCCCTTTCTCTAGTTTGGTAGTGGTAAAAACTGTCAGTCTTTGTCCAGATCCTTGAGGAATGGGCTTTTGAGATGAGAGATCTCTTTAAATCCAGACTTGATCCCAAGCCTGTAGGCCACAACCAGGAAATGTATATGCTTTCACTGAGGCCTTTGTGCTTATTTTCTACACAACAGTGACAGCATGCTTTTGATGAGCCAGTTTGGTGTAGTGGTTAAGAGTGGTGGACCATAATCTGGAGAACTGGGTTCGATTCCCTACTCCTCCACATGAAGCCAGCTGGGTGACCTTGGGCCAGTCACAGTTTTTTCAGAGCTCTCTCAGCCCCTAAAAACAAGTCTAGCTCACCACTAGCATAACACTAAAAGCTCGAACTTGTGGCTGACAATCTTTAGATCTTCTGTCTATTCTACACACAATGCCTGATGATGATGCTTTTGACACTGACTAGAAGGTACTGGAGTTCAGAAGGATTCCTGAAGCACAGATGGCTAAATAATAGTTTATGGACCAGCTGCTAAATAGCAGCATATCAAAAGAATTCTAAAATTCTAGCATGTCTCCTGCCCTCTGGGTTCTCTTCCCCAACAACAATAATTCTCATCCTGGCATCCTAAGTAGACAGCAGTGTTTCTGTCTGTCTTCTGGTCAGCAGGGATTAAAATCTAACACTGCAAGCAAATAATGCAGCACCGTGCAGCTTCCAAGCTATAAATTAGCTTCTTCCTTCTCCATGATGCACAAAACCTCAGCTGTTCCATTTAAAAATGATTTAAATGATTGACCTGTGCTATTTGTCAACTTGATAAACGATTTAGACAGGAGCATGCTTTGCTTCTAAATCTGATATTGGCACCTCTTCCCTGCACTCCCGCTCTCAGGACTTCCACTCTGCACTTGCTACCTCTGTGGTCAGGAATCAAATTCTGCTATCCCATTCTACAGAAATAATAAGAGTAAAAGTACAGCGTGGTCCCACCATCCAGGTGGGTATTTAAAAGACCTGCTAAATCCACCCTCTTCTCTTTTTCTAGAGAAAAACATGTTAATGCTCCCTGAATCGCAATGGGCACAGAAATTATGGACCGCAACACTTGCTCCGTATAACCATATATGGTCACCGCGCCTCATCAGACACCTTCTCGCTCTAGCTAAAATTAACAGCGGGCTTCAAAGCATTTAGTATGCCATGCTGTGTGGCATGCATGGAGTTAACAATATGTTCAACATCTTTCAAAAATGTCAATACAGCAGAAAAATTCTGATTTTGAGGACAGCTCTTTTCTCATATTCTCTGAAATCGGGGAGGGAAAACAGTGTCATGAATATCATTGCCCATCTAGGATGCAAATCTCCTCAGTTTTGTCTGTTTGAGTACCAGTTATTTCAGTGGGACTTGAGTTCACCGAATTATGAGCACTGTAACAGCCACAGAATTTGCAAACTTGAACGTTCGCAAGACAGCCAACTTGTTTCCTTTTGTAAAAAAATCTCCATTTTATAGCTTTCCATCCTCTTCTCATAAGACATCTATGCCTGAAATAACATCTTGATGCTACTCAGTGGAGGGGAAAGCTCCCTATCTTACTTCACATTTTGAGTTAAAAGTGAGTTTCGATGTCTCTCAAGTGGTCGCCTTGGCCAATACTTGATAGCAATGAACTGTCAGAGGATTGAGGAATCCAGCTCCCTGACATTTGCATTCCGCTGCTTGGCAGCCCAAACTTCCCCAAGGAAAATCCTCTCTAATCAGGATCCCAAGTAACAAATATAGGACCACCTACATAAAGTCACAGGGCTATCCGTAATGCTGACCAGAAAAAAATTAGAAATAACAGCAAGTAAATACCCTGAGAGGACCTCCCTCATCCCTTATACCCCATTCCATATCACACCCACTCCCAGCGCACAAATATACACACACCGCTGGATTCAGATGCTATTTGAGAGGCTATTTTGGAATCCATGTGTTTTCCCTTTCTAGTGCTTTCAGGAGTATCACAGCTTGCTGGTGACCCAGCTGTCAAATAAAGATTATCATAACCAGTCCAGTTAAATGATACCCCTGTCACATTACAACCATCTACAATGAATTACTAAATTCAGACATTTGCAACTCACCTGTTTGTTTGGGATTCCTGCCTCCTCCCGTTCTCTCGACTGCTTCTCACCAGGGTCTATGTTGTAGTCAATACTCAGCTACTACACTGCTTACTTAGAACTAGGTCATCGAGAGCCTGCCACTCTTCTCTTCTCATTCCGTCTCACTTTCTCCCTCTTGCTCTCTTAATCTCTCTCTCTCGCCCTCTCCCTTTCATAGGTGAAAGCCTGTCATAGAGCTGTTAGCCTGTAATAAAGCCAAATGATTTTTTTATTGCAAATTTATGGCATCTGCCTCTTAGCCACTAATATTTCCAGTCCATGCCAGAGACTGCGCTGCACAAATTTGAGATTAACTTCAATTCTTTGACATTTCATAAATCATTTTGAAGTGTTAATTTTCTGCAGATCTGATTTCCTTTTTGAATTGTAGCCATCAAAGCCTTCCTTTCATAAAATCTTTACATATATCCCCAGGGAATAACTTCATAGCTTTTACAGAAGAACTTCCAGATTCAATAAGATATGGTTTGGGGGAACTGTTCAGCACAGAGTTTTACTTTAAGTGCTAAGAACTTTCTGAAAAATGAAAAACACACACCTTATTGTGATGGAAGTAAAAACTTTTTCGGTGAGTGGGTAGAATTATTCATATTATTAAAAAAAAAAACTAATTTCCATGTTAAGTTTATGCCATAAAAGGGGATTTCTTTTATGACAGTTTACAAAGTAAACTGAATTAAGAAGGGAAAACATGGGTGGATTAAATGTTTGCATGCTGCTTTGATGTCACTGACTGAAGCATGAGCCCAGAAAAGATTCCCACATTTATTTTCTGGGGAAGGCAAAGCTTCTCAGCAACAGGCACAAAGGTAGACAGAATGGGATCATTTGTAAATTTTGCATTAGGACTTTAATTTTGTTGTAATTTCTGGAATTTTATTTTTAAAATTACATTGTTTACAGTTACATTATTTATGTGGCATTTGCTACAGCTTTCACTTTGATCCTTTTGTGCCAGTGTTTATGGCATAAGCATGTCCTTTCATGCTTCCCCGTTTATTTCAATCTTCATACCCAAAGCAGAGCTCAAATGGACCAGGTCCTTCCACTGAAATGAACAGAACAGCCTCCAGATACAACAGATCTGTGTATGCATCTGCACACATGACAGATCTCGGACTGAGCCACAAGAGTTTGTTTTCACTTGTTTACAATACCATGGCTATCTGTCCTGAATGTTTACGATATGGGTGAAAAAGAATTTTAAAATGAAAAACATTTGTTCCGGAAATTTAAAACAAAATCTCCTGATGTTGTTGTTTTCTACAATCATCTTGTACATACCCAAGGAATTGTTAAAAGTTTGGTGAACACTGACATGCCCATATGAAAGGCGACATGACAGAAGAATTTTGTGAACGCCTGGAAATAGATATCTATTTCAGCTCCCTCAACATCTGTTCCAAAAGTTTATTCATTATGCCTTGTAACGCCATGTAAACACCCCACCCTGTCTGCATTCTTTATTCATTGGGGTGAGACGGGAATGAAGGCAAAATTCAGTAAGTGGTCAAATGAAGTTGCTTGCCCCTGTGATCCAGTCTTGGAGGGGACATAACTCAGTGGTTGAACATACAGTTTGCATGCAGAATGTCTCAGGTTCAATATGTGGCATACCCTGTGGCAGGTGCAGACGTTGGAAAACACTTGTCCCCACCTAAGACCCTGAAGAACGACTGCTAGCTGTATTAGGTAATAGTGAGAAGGGCTGTGCATTCAGGAAATCCTGAGTGGAAGATATACATGTTTTGGGTTGTTACTGCAGTTTTCTGAAATGGTTACACAAATCTGGGACTCTTGGGCATTCAAAAAAACACCTGGCCCTTTCAAAAATCCACATAATTTTTCATGCTCGGGTGTTTACCATCAGGCATCTTTTCTTTTGGTTCTCCAAATTTCCCAGGTAGTGGCTGAGGGAAGGTGACTTCTAGCCGGCATAAGCCAAGCACAGGAACCTGCAGAGCTGCCATTCTAGACAGTTCATTTTCCTTTTCCCTTCTCTGCTTTGAGGGGGCAGAGCCTTATCTTATTCTGTAAGTGGAATGCCTGGGGCATGTTGTGCAGGGCTCATAGAGCTGAAACCCTTGAAACTTGGGTGCCCTTTAGTGTAATTTTGGTGTCATGCGGTTGAATAAACAACCACTCCAGCCCCCTGAAAAGGTCCTCTATAAACAATATCAGAACTGTTATTCTCCTTCTCTCCCTCATTCCATACTTTATGAAACAACTAACGGACCACAACAAGAAAGGATGGCAAACACAGAATCTTCAATGGAAAAATATTTTTATTATCAGTCAGTCACTGTAAGAGTAGAGAAAAATGAACGCAGACAGTTTTTTGTTTTTTAAATACTGATGGCTGGTTGTCAAGGTTTCAGTTTCAATTCTCTTCGCTTCACTGTTCACCTTGTCATGTATTAGGGGGGAGGGAATTCCTGAGGGGGGAGTGGGTGGGATGAGTGCTTGCTTGTAGTAGCCATAATTATTCCTCAAGTTGCACCCCTCGTATATCTGTCAGGGTTGTCATAGAAATGCTAGTGGCGGAATGCTGACTTATGCATGGGGTGTGGGGGTGCATTGGGTTTTACCTATAACCTCTGAAGTTATCGGGCTTTCTTCAGTCCTGACAAAGAACCAGTTCCTATAAGTAAACATATCTCTAATAAAGCTTCACTGCCAAAAGTGTGGTGGAGAGTATTTTAACTGGCGATCTGACACTGGTGCCATTCCCGCCCTCCTCAAGGAATCAGTGGAGAGAAGTACGCTTGCACCAAGAGGCACCTATTTAGTGTGTGTGCATTAAGTGCCATCAAACTGGTTCCAATTTATTGTGACCCTAGGATTTAATGACCTCCAAAACTTCTTATAGTTAACAGCCTTGCTCAGGTCTTGCAGACTGTGGCTTCCTTGATTGAGTCAATCCACCTTCCTCTTTTTCTGCTGCCTTTCACTTTTCCTATCATTATTGTCTTTTCCAGTAAGTCTGGTCTTCTCATAATGTAACCAAAGTACAATAGCCTCAGTTTGGTCTTTTTAGCTTCTAGGGAAAGTTCAGGCTTGATTTGATCTGAAACCCAATTTTTTGGCAGTCCACGGTAGCTGTAAGGCTTAAAAATTATGGGGCCTTTAGGTTAGAGGAAGAGCTATGTTGTATGAAAATGTGGTGCCATTATCTTTAAAAGCAACTGCTCCAGGCCCTTGAATTGGTTCCCTGTTGAAAACAACAGTGTCAACATTCCAGAACACACATGCACAAGCACGCACGCACACACATGCGCGCGCACACACACACAAATGTTAATATGACACATTAAATGATGCAAGATTCCACAGTAGGATCCATAATAATTTATAGTGACTCACTGGCCAGTCAATTCAATCCCAAGGCACTAACAATGGAGTAACAATGGAGTCTAGATTTAGTTTAAAGGGTCAGGAACTATGGTAGTTTTGTAGAAAACACAAAATGTTTAGTCTTTCCCTTCTTCCATGGGACTCAAGACTGTGGCCTGTAAGTTTCTCTCAACAAAGCATGAGGCAGATTAGGTTGAAAGAGTGCCCCAAGGTCACCCAGTAAGCTTCAAGGCTGAACAGAGATTTGAACTTGTGTCTTCCTAGTACAGCATTCTAACTACCTGACAATACTGGGTCATGCCAAAAGATGTGGCCTCGATGAAACTCTTCTTCTGCCTCATTTAAGGCTCTTGCCAAGATGTCTTCATATGTCCTTGAAGAACAGCTTTGTGCCTTCACCTTCCTCCAGTTCCCCAGTCAAACATGCCCTTTCAGCTGCTTCGCTGTCCAGCTTGCAAATCAGAACTGGAATGCGCCCATAACTCTGGGAAACTATATTTACAGCAGATTGTAACTTCAAGGACACACCTCCAGTGGTATCATGTGGAAGCACAGATGTGAGCACTGGTGGCTCCATATTTCCATCGGGGCCAACAGTAATGTAATTTACAAGTCTAGCACCTGTTCCAGAACAGACACATGATTCAAAATTAACATGACATGGAAACACATCCTAGAATGCAACATAAACAGGCTCACCTTGAAGAAAAAGAACACTGCATTTGGAAATAATGGCATTAATCTTTAAACCAGGTCATCTCCCAGTAACACCTAACAAAAATTATGACTCAAGGTGGTTAAGACAAAGGCCGAGGAATCTGGAGACCCAAACTTTCTTCCATGTTCTTTTTGTGATTTGAACATCATTGGCAGGGGGGAGGAAAATTTTGTTGGCAGCAAGCTAGCAACAGCTGAGTTCCATCTGAGCCAGGCTTGTCTTCCTCTCCTTGCAGATACTATAGAACTTGAGCAAGGTCAGAAGCACAAGCCCTTGGCAGCCAGCTGAAGAGCAAGAGTCAAAGACCTTCAGCTCTTACCTGTGACTCACAGACTGTTCATTCAGAGCAAGCCACTGAATACTACACTGGCCCAAGATGGATTTCTTTGGATCAACTTGATAGTACATTAGTATTCCTGTTTTCCTTTTAAAATATCATAAAAACCTAGTCTCACACTCAACTGCTTTTAATGTTGCTGTTCAAAAAGAAACAACAGGAAAAACAGACTGAAACATACTCCTGAAACATGCAACTACTATTGTGTACCTGGTTTGTCAGGTGGACAGCTGTATACTCCATTCACATCTGTGAGAAAGACAACTTGTCTAGGAGAGAATTTTTGAGCAAGAATCTGTAAAAGTAAACATTTAATATGGAAGTTGCTTCACAGTGAGTTAGTTCGTTGGTCTATCTAGCGTAGTAACTGGTGGCAGCTACTCAGCTAGCCAGCTACTCAGACTGGTGGCAGCTAAAGAGACCGCTACTTGATATTCTTTAAAGGGATGTGAAGTATGGGTTTTTATCACTATGGTATGCCTTCCCTTCTAATTGTGCATCATAACAATCCAAGGATCTTGTCTTATCATTCATCCTGTGTCTTACTCTTCTATCTGAAAATTCACAGAAACTATTGTGAGGATGACCATTTCCCTATCTATTCCAAAGAGAAGAACCACAGAAATGAGACTTGACTGCAGTTCAGGGATGTTTTCTTCAAACTATTTGCATATATGTGACATGTTGAAATTAAATCAACAGTTTTCACCTAAATATTAGGAAGAATTTCCTGACAGAACAGTTCCCTAGAACAGGCTTCTTTAGGAGGTGGTGGGCTCTCCTTTGGAGGTTTGTAAGCAGAGGCTAGATGGCCACCTGACAGCAATGCTGATTCTATGCATTTTGGCACATCATGAGAGGGAGGGCAGGAAGGGATGAACCAGTGCTTGGTCCTCATGGCCCTTTCTTACAGGTCCAGGGTAATGTCAATTGCCACTTTGAGATCAAGAAGGAATTTTCCTTCAGGCCGGATTGGCCCAGGGATCCTGGAGGCTTTTTGCCTTCCTCCAGGCATTAAGCAGGGGCCACTGGGGGAGTGGAGGGGGGAGGCAGCTGTTGTTGGATTGGATTTGACTTTCTGGCACTGTGCAAGGGGCTGTACTAGATGAGCCTTGGGTCACTTCCACCTCTATGTTTCAGTAAGGCAAAGCCCAACCTTATTACAGTTGTGCATGAAAATGTGCCCTCCCATTCCCCATCTCTTACCTCTATGATGGCATCTCCAGATAAAATGCAGCAGTGCTGTTCCAAGTCCAGTGCACAGTCACCATGTAATACCGGGACATAACCAGAGTCCAAAACATCTTTCACTGTATCAATACCAGCCTGATTGACATTTTTAAATGCTGTCTTCCAGGTTCCAAAAGGCTTTTATAAAGACAACAAGGACAAACAATATTTATCCAATCCACAGGCTGGATCCCAGCCAGCCCATTTTGCTGGTTTGTTTCTCTGGTTCAAGGAACCTTCCCCCAAATTCAGAATCGCTGAAGCATGATGAATTCCTGCCTAAGTAATGAATGAAGTGATCTTACAAAACAAAACTGAAGCAGTGATTAATTGATGAGACATATGGGTAGATACATTAATTCACTGGTGGAGCTACACATTTAAGGCTGCAATTTTGTTGCTTTTAAAAGAAAACAGAATGGTAGCATTTATTTATTAAACTGTACATTTCTGAACACTTATTTTAAAAAGGCAACTACATATTTTGACAGTGTGCTAATATATTTACATTTAGTTGAATAAAAACTTGAAATAAAGAAGATAACATCCACTAAAAATTCTTTAATTATTTGACATTATGTTCTGAAGACAGAAGACTAAGATGATTTAGGGCAGATCCAAGACCTCTGCATGCCCCAATGAATGCTCCAACATTTAACTACATGACAATTCCCCAATTCCTCTCCTCCACCCATGGTTATTTCTTCCCTAGAAGGACATCATAACATAAAAAGAAGAGAAGACAGACAACAGGTGCCATTACCGAAATGCCCACTGCTGGAACTCCACTCCTTACCAACTGATCTGTCACCAGATGGTTCAGCTGTGGGGACAGAAAAAGTGTCACCGAAACCCTAAAAACTTTCACGTCTCACTTTCCTGTACTCAATTTGTAATATTAGTTAGGTAATATTTCTCCATTTTAAAGGAACCACAAGAGGGTTGGGGGACAGAAAAGCAACAAAATTGGCCTGGTGTGTTTATTGTATCTGTTTCAAAGGTTTCATATGGAACATCTGGAGACACCAGATCACTTTAATTTGTTTGCAGTGTTGCTGTCAAGCTGCTTGCATTCCCAGACACGCAACAGACCATATTGATATCCAAGAATAAAGTCTGTGAATATTATAGGGCTTGGAATAAGTCAGCCTTCTATTTTTTTCAATAGTCCAACACTTGGAGGCTCAGAAAGCAGAGTAGTGGTAGCACTGGCAAAGCTTTCTGCCATTTTTGTCACAAACCAGTCCAAGGTATAAGATATTGTGGTGTGATTTTGACTCTGATCTTCTGGGCCCTGCCTGTAGTAGAGTTGCCATCCCCCCGGTCAGGCCAGGGGATCCTGATTTTGGGAGCCCCAATCCACAAATCTGCACCCACATCCAGTCCAGCATTTCCTCAGGACAGTATGTGATGATAATCTTTTGTTACATTAAAGAGACCAACAAACTCCAGTATGTTGGCAACGAGTCCACAGAAACATTGTGGACAATTATCAGGAAGACTTGCTTATTCACTGGCCCTTGTGTGAAAGCACACAGACCTCAAGATGGCCTAGTGATCTCTGATTTCCTGCACAGATGCCAAGCCAATTTGGGCTGGGATGGATGAGGTTTCAATCCTTCTCTTTAGCACCAACTTGAATATAACGTAACCATTTATGACGTGAGAGGAGCCCTGCCAGGTACAAGCATTAGATTCCTCTGAAGGTACCACGTGGTTGTCTGAGGCCGGACAGTGAGTTATTGCTGCCGGCTGCAGACACCTTGGACTCTAGTCAAGAAAGCATCACTGCAGTGATATGATGCAATTAGTTCCAATGAAGCTGTCAGTGCCACCTTTGACATCCCTTCCTAGTTTAATTTGTGTTGAGAACCAGAATATCACCTCATTGTTCTTCACAGAATCAAAATTTCAGGATTGTCTCAAAATGGAGTATTTTATTCATTTAATTCATTTGTACCCAGCTTTTTTCCCCAATGGGGAACCAAAGTGGCTTATATTATGCTCTTCTCCTCCATTCTGTCCTCACAAAGCCCTGTGGGGTAAGTTAGGCTGAAAGCGT